GCCCTGGAATACAGACCTGTTTTTCCAAAGCAAGTGTGTTGATGCTTTTTATAGAAGAGCTTTCTCTCCTCACTTTCACAAATGCGAGAGAGGAAGGGAGAGAGAGAGATAGAAACATCTATTATTAATTGATTGCCTCCTGCTCGCCCCTACAGCCCCTACACGGGACAAAGCCCGCAACCCGGGGATGTGCTCTGAGTAAGAATCGAACCATGACCTCCTGGTTCATAGGTCGAGGCTCAACCACTGAGCCATGCCGGCCAGACCAGGTGGACTTTCACTGTAAGTGCTTTCAAGGCTGAGTTTCCGAGTTAGTGGTATGGATCTTCTGTGTGTTTTTAGTGAGACCCTCTTGTCCATTTGTCCCTGTCTTTCAGAAGGAAACATTTCTCCTTAAAGCAAGGTGGTGACGTTGCTTCCCCGTGTGGAGTGGAGAGGCGTTCTTTTTTAGAAGATCCTTGCCATTTAGTGTGTGAAATGAGGAAGATAGGAAACAAACAGATATTACTGTTTCTCTGGAATCTATTTTTGTTTTGGTGAATGTGGTTTCTGAGCTTTTCAGGAGGAGTTGACTACTCTGTCTCCATTTTTGCAAAGCACAAGTTGCCTTTCAGGAAACATGTAGCACTTAGGCATGTTTTTTTGTAATTGGTCAGCAGCTCATCATTAAATAAAATTGGTGGCTTGCGATCATGCCAGTCTTACTCATCAAAAATCCTTCGTTAAAGCAGTAGCAGGAAGAAGGAAATAAGGAGATTTTAAACAACAGTTTTAAATTTGGGAGGTGGTAGGAGAGGACACTCAAAACATTTCATTATGGCCCAGCTGGTGTGCCTCAGGGGTTGAGCGTTGACCTATGAACCAGGAGGTCAAAGTTTGATTCCCGGTTTGGACACATGCCAGGGTTGCAGTAGGGGATGTTCAGGAAGCAGCCGATAATGATTGTTCTCATCATTGATGTTTCTACCTCACTCGCCCTTTCCCTTCCTTTCTGAAATCAATTTAAAAAATATTAAAAAAACAAACACAATAAAACCATTTCCTTATGTTCTACTAGGTAAGGAGATTTCTGTGCTATGTCATCCATCATTTTTGATCTTTAACCCAAAAACTTTCTTAGCCAGGATTCTCTGCTAGGCCACAAAATAGGAAAATGGCCTCAGTATTTTCTCAGTTTTTCCAAAGGTGTTCATGTAAGAAACTGTGACGTCTGAAATTGTACTCTGCTTGCCAGCTTCCCTAATTGCCTGTGGTGGTGTCGTGGATGCTGGCATCGGACTCCACTGATCATAGCAGTGGCTATCAGGCGTGTCACTTCCTGTCCCAATTCCCCTCAGCTGGTGCCTGTGGGCCAGGCAACACCTCCATGGGGTGTGACAGGAGAGGAACCTGGAGTTTAGGAAACCCAGATCTTTTAGGAAGGGCAGTAAACCTCCCTTTGCTTCAGGGAAGTCACAATCTCCATCTGCCCTGACTGTTTGCTCTATAATCCCGAACAAAGGCAGCCAGTGCCTCTGTTTGTAACATATGCAGAAACACGAGAGACACACAGAGAATGGTCTCCCAACACATAGGTGGCTAGAACCTTTCTAGATGTACAGGAGAGATGCTCATTCATTGTGAATGCCTTGGAGCTTAATTCGCTCCTAGCAGCCAGGTTGAGAAGAACTGCTAGACCAGTGGTTCTCAACCTTCCTAATGCCGCGACCCTTTAACACAGTTCCTCATGTTGTGGTGACCCCCAATTTCATTGTTACAAATTGAACATAATTAAAGCATAGTGATTAATCACAAAAAACAGTATGTAATTATATATGTGTTTTCCGATGGTCTTAGGCGACCCCTGTGAAAGGGTCGCGACCCACAGGTTGAGAACCACTGTCCTAGACCTTTGCTGTGGGCCGCCATTTCCAAAATAGCTTAGTATTCCTCTAAAATGTTTTAAATCAAAGAAGAGAAAGGAAGAGTGTATCAGAACTTTCTTAGAAATTTTCCTCTACTGCTTTTTGAGAAAATATAAATATTATATTTTAAAGAATTAAATTGTTAAAAAAATCTTGATACTTATTAACACACACACACACACACACACACACACACACACACACCCTACCCAAATTCTGGAAGGTAGGAGATGGTTTACAATAAGAAGCTCATGTTTATAATTGCTTGGCTTCAGAACAATATGGCCAGTTTGCTTAGGGAGAAGCCTATGAAATACACCCTCACCCGACCTCTGCTGTCTGAGGTAAGATTTCATGTTCAGGTCTTCAGTGTATTTATTTAACCGCTTCTCCTCCCATTCCTTCCCAGTGGAAAAGTCTCTGAAAAGTTTCTTGTATCCAAGCAGCTACTCTGTTCTGTTTCCAAACTTTGTTTTGTTCGTGTGGGTCTCCTCCTCCATAGGACTTCGATTCTCCACGTGACTTCTATCCCTCGTCTCCAGACCTGTGTTTTGCTCGCTGTTATGAATGTCCCAGCTTGCCATGTTTGTGCCCACTTGGGACTCTGGAATCCAGAGAAGCACTAGCTGAGGCTTCTGAGATATTGTGGAGAAGACGGAAACTCCAATACAGAAATTTAAGTCTAAGTGGGAAGTCTGACAGGCTGTTCTGGTGAGCTGGTTAGTGTTGGGTCATGTAACAACATCTATATTTTAAACGACAAGAAAAAGATCACAGAAAACAAACAAACAAAAAAGGTCGCGAACTGGACCCAGGAAAAGGCTGCTGATTCTGAGTTCTGCTTTGGGACAAGAAGGAGAAAGCCCAGCTACGGCCCTTACCTTCTGCATCCGCCATTCCAACAATTCTTTTGCTTTCTGAAAATGTTATTTTCCCTTTATTTAAAAAAAAAAAACAGAAAAGACTTTTTTAAAAAAAGAAAGATGTGAGGATTATGTAGATAACTATAGAATTTATGATCTGTGTTTTTAAAGAGCCTTATAAATATAGTCACATTGTTTAGCTTTATCCCATCACTGTCCTCCCTCTGAGCAGATGGATGACCATTATTTAATCGCTTGGCTATTTATGACCAGAAAGAGTTGACGGGGGTGTGGTAAGACATCTCATCTTCCACCACCACCACCGCCCTTGTTCAAGCACCTTGAATCATTGCTGGGAGACAAAATGGCGATTGTTTGGCTAATGGCAGTCTTAAATTCTCTGTCAGAGCTCCACTCACCCTTCCTCTCCCTTCCTGATTAGGAAGACATTTCCAGGTGAAGAATGGAGTGACTTTTGCTGCTGGTGACACAGATCACTTTGAGAGTTATGGGTGTCTTTGCTGTGTAGGAGATAGGTTTTGTGACTTCCAAATGAACGGCTGGATAGGGGGGTTATAAATAAGTCATTCAAAGAACAATGTTTTTTAAAAGCACATCCCCTACCTCCTTTTCCTGATCAAAGGATAGGAAACCTGTGAGCTAAATATCAAGTCAATAGTGGAATATTTCAGGTACCTGATTTATAAAATCCAACCTTATTTATAGAACACCTAGATTTATTGTTCGGATGTTGATTGAAGACTTCGTGTGCCTAGCAGTCTTCCGGGCCATTGAGGTATACAGAAAGAGCTAAAGACTTGTTCTTGCCCAGAAGGCAGGAGAAGTATCGGAAACTATCACAGAACAGCTCAGGTCAACCTGCCCTCCTGTTTATTGGTGTGACGGACCTTCAGGGAAGATCGGTGACTTAGGCCAAAGGAGAAGTACTGGGGTGACGAGCTGGGCTGAGCTGAGCTAGGGACAGCTTTGACCAGGCAGAGGGACTGGGGAGGCTGAGAGATGAGGAGAAACGGGAGGCAGAGTGTGTGTCAAACTCAGGGAAGCAGGGCCGCAGGCAGACGGGCAGTCTGCGAGGGCAGGAGATCCCCTGGAGGGCAGATGGGGGCACATTGGTTCTGGGGGAGGCAGGTTGGGTAGACTGGATCTTAGGTGGCTGAATGTGTCTGATTGAGCTGGCAGGGTTGGAGGAATGGGTTGGAGATGAGCCATGAGACCACAGTGGTAACAGACACAAAGCGGTGAGAATGGGATGGTCTCCTGATAATGAAGAGAAGGTGGGCAGAGGAACAGCCTGGGAAGAATTTGAAGTAAAACTGGACAGAGTGTGGTATTAGTTTTTCTAGAGAAGGAAGACTCAAAGGCAGTGCTCAGGAGTGTGGAAGGACAGGAAGCAGCTGCTCGTGGAAACGTGTTAGCTGAAGAGGGTGAGTTTGAGGTGAGAAGCGCCTGGGTCCGAGCAGCTATGGAAGACGTGTGTGCTGAAAGTGAGACTGAATGGAAGGAGGAGCTTGTAAAGTGAGCTTCAGGGACCATCACCACACGCCTCCCACTTGGATGCCTGGAGAAGAATGTAATTCAGGTCAACACACATGTATGGACTCTCCCTTTGTGTTTAGAGACCGCTCCAGGAGTCTGTTCACTGACCTTTTCCATTAATTTTTTTTTGAAATTTGCAAATGTTAGGGAATGTTCAGGTCACCAAAGGTTTTTGCTGTTCATTGCTTTCTCCTTTAAAGCTATTCTAGTCCTCTCCAGAGAGCTCTTGATTCCCACTGCATTTTCTTCTGAGTTGCTACATGTTGATGACAGATAAACAAGCTTTAAACATCCAAAGGGCACATGCTGAATTTTTGGAGCTCTAGGCCGCCATGTCTGCTGCACATTCATTTGACTTTCCCCATAAACAGAAAACCTCAAAAGTCCCAGCAACTATTCTGGGCACTTGGATTCTGGTGCCCTAATTAGTGAGCTGATACCTGGCCAGTTTGGACAAGACTCGACCTTCTCCACTAACCTGGAGAAGTACAAGGTGCCGCTAGTTTGGGGTGTGGCTTTTGGGGTTCGAACAGCATGTGGAGAGGACTCTGTCTTTCTATTCATCTGGAGAGACAAGGGAGCCATCATCCTAGCTATTGAGGATTGAGGTGTCATGTGTTTGGGGTTCTGTGGCCTTTATACTATTAAATCTGGTTCTTCAAACTTCCATCCTTAGCTCAAGCCAGACCCGACCACCGATGGTCCAGTGGCTTAACCCGCAGTCTCCGACCACACTGAGCTGCAACCAAACTGTTACCCCTCCTTCACCCAAGTTGTCACCTTTCCTTTCCTGTCCTCCTGCCACCCCAGCGGACAAGCCACCTGAAAGGTACATGGTTGGGATGGGATGTGGAGGACGGTGACAGCACATGGAAGGGGCTCCTTAACCCGAGCAGGTGCTCGTGTCCTCGGCTGGAAAAGGCTGGCTTGGGCTCCTCCGGCCTCTGGGCAACACTTAAAATCTTGTCTCAGGGCCGACCCCCTGTTCCTGAGCAAGGACATTCTCGGGAGAAATTTACCTCGTCTGAGAGCTGCTCAAACCTACTCTTTTTGGTGCTGATGTGCAGTTTTGAAACTATTCATTCATTTTAGAACAACTTTTTATACGTGACTATAAAGCACATGCTTTGTTTTAAAGGAGGGTTCATGGGACACTGGGAACAGTGGTGAACAGGCCCCTTCCAGAGGGCATGGAAGCTGACCGTCGGTCCAGACAGACCAGTGTCCGCAGGGCACTGTGGAAGCCACGGAGCACACGTGTGCCTCTGCCTGTCGCTGCTGTGTCTTCTGTCTCAAGACACTGGAGCTTTTCCCAATAGATGGACCACAGCGCTGAGGAAATACACAGGCCCGGAGGTGCTGATGGCACGGAAGGATCGGAAAGGGCGTCCCACCAGGCGGAGAGGAGAACTAGGGAAGCGTTTCAGTGAAAGCTGCTCAGAGAGGCTCCCTAAAGAGACATTTGAATTTGAAGCCCATCATTTACTTGAAAATCAAGTGCTGTGCTCGTGCCTGATGTTCACTTCCCTCCTTTCTCTGGTGGAAGTTGTCCCACCAGTGACGCAGGAATGAGACCTGGGAAATGGGAGGTGGCGGGAGGTGAGGTTTCTCTCTCCTAGTTTCTCCACGTGTTAATTTGTGTCTGTCCCGGTCCCTTCTCAGCATCACCAGCCGGAAGGCTCGAGCGGTGTATCCGTGTGAAGCAGAACACAGCTCCGAGTTATCGTTCGAAATAGGAGCAATTTTTGAGGATGGTGAGTGCTCCGAGAGCTTTGTGGTCAGATATATTCTGTCGACAGCCCAGAATGTCTACCGCCTAGACCAGGCGGTCCCTGGTTGGAGCACTGTCAGCAGCACAATGATGGGGACCATGGGATCTGCAAGAGCCTACAAAACGGAGATTCTGCAAATTAGCGACAGGAGTGTGTGTGAGTGGTGATAAGGGTTGTGAGAGAGAGAGAGAAAGGAGGGGAGGGGAGAGGAGAGGAGAGATATATTGATTGGTTGCCTCCTGCACACACCCCATTAGGGGCCAGGATTGAACCTTGTTATGTGCCTTTGATCAGGAATGGAACCAGAGACCCTTTGGTTTTGTGCACTGATGCTCTAACCACTTAGCAACACTGGCCAGGGTAAGAATATTTCCGATTTTGCATCCATTATTTTTTCTCTGAGTTCCCAGCCAAGCCTCCCAAATGCTTCAGGTTTGCCAAATCTGAGTTACTGAAAGGGAACTATTATAGAAAAATTTTGGTTTATAATTCCCTTACACTTCCTCTGCTCTACATGATTTTTGCTGATTTGAATAATGTGTGAATATTTAGATATGGGTATTGACTTTTCACATTGAAATAAGGGTGCACCTTTTTATGTGTGTTTATTATTCATACACAATCATTTAGGAACTATGCCCGGCTTAATATTTCACAAATTACCCCAATGGTTGAATATATATCTCCCCCCCTCTCCCCTTTATTTCTTCTCCAGTCTAGCTCATGATGAAATTCATTGGTTGCTGTGGAAACAGTGATGTCGTGTGTGGGTGGAGCTGCCCAAAGGAGTTCTGGGGAAACAGAACCTTAGTTCTGGAATGGTTGATTAGCCCCAATGTTTGGAATACGTGGAATGTATCAGCACAGTGCATAGTGGTATATTGTCAGTAATGCGGCATTTGTTGGTGATTGTGTTTTTAGGAAGCACCTTGCCTCTTTTAGAAGAGATTTCTATATATGTGTACTCTTGAGGGCCCGGGACTCCTGATAGTGACAGAAAACAAACCACCACAACAAAACTCCACATCTGACAGAATTATATTTTGTGGAGGAATTTTAATCTTGGAGTGTAAGCTAGATCATTCCTCTGCCACCATCGCGTACATCCACGCAGAGAGTGTGGTGACATAGCCGCCCTGCCCCGGGCCCGCCACTTGTTGGCACCTCATATGGCAGAAGAGGAAGCCAGAATGTAGCATTGAAACCTACCCATTGGAGGAAGGATGGCAAATTTTTGCATTGTGTGATTAGATTTGTTTGGGAGCCTCTGGAATCCCTTCCTGGGACTGTTGAGATATTTACCCGGGTAGGGGTGTATCTATTAGGAGGCCTTGTGCTGCAGTAACAGAAACTGACACAGGAGGTAAATTAATCATGAAGATGGATTAGCTCACGCTGCAGGAAGTCCGGGCATCGGGAGCTCTAGGGTTGGTTCACACACAATCTCCACCACCACAGTGTCCCCTCTGCTGAAGCATCCTTAGCTCGGGGCGGGGCGTCTGGCTGGCTTTCCCCACACAGCCACACTCAACCCCAGCAGAAGGGTTCCTCTTCCTTGCTTGTGCTCCCTTTCTTTTCTTAGAATGAGAAAAGTTTCCCAGAACTTCTTTCCCAGTTTACTTACCCTCCTCTCTTGATAGCCAGAACAGAATCATATATTCACCTTGAACCGGTTACTGGCAAAATCCAGAACCACACTGGGGACAGGGACATCTCCACTGGGCCCACAGACACCGGGATGAGGGTCAGGTCTGTGAGCAAGGATGGTAGATGTCTGGCACTGGGGACTGAAGTTCTCCACCTCTGAAGTCCTTCAGTGACTTGCCGGAATCCTAAAAAAGTGTGTGTGCGTGACTCTGTTTATGTGGTGTGTGTGTTTCTCTCCACAAACACACACGCACACACACACACACACACACACACATACACACACAGATACCAGTATCTCAGTGCGTTGGGGGAGGACAGGTTGATGGCAGGTAGTTACGGATGGTAAACTGTGAAGTTAGTCTGAGATCAGATCCTGGCTTTTCCATTCTCTGTGTGACTCTGGATTTGGTCCGTAAGTTCTCTGTGCATGCTATTTTCATCCTGATCTTCAAGGACGTCCACAGATTGATGTGTCAAGACAGCGTTTTGGGTCATGGAAGGTGGGACTTCGAATGTAGCACATGGTCATCTGTGGATGGAAGATGTTGCTGACCTGGGAGCACTGTGGCCACATTCACTATTGGTTGAGCCTTCAAGATACACAGCAGCCCTCGCTATTTTTGGCTCAGTGCATAGAGCATCGGCCTGCGGACTGACGGGTCCTAAGTTCCATTCCAGTCTAGGGCACATGCCTGGATTTATGGCTTGATCCCCAGTAGGGGGCGGGCAGGAGACAACAGATCAATGATTCTCTCTCATCAGTGATGTTTTGTTCTCTACCTCTCCCTCTTAGAAATCATTACAACGATATATATATAAAAAAGATACACAGCAGTACAGTGAATTCACAGGGAGCAAGTACTTGGGGTATTTTGATAAAAAAGTGATTTCTCTTCCCTTTCAGTACAAACCTCGAGGGAACCTGGCTGGCTAGAAGGGACTCTGAATGGCAAGAGGGGGCTGATTCCACAGAATTACGTCAAGCTGCTCTAGCGCCCGTCCTGTGAGGGCCCCCACGGACCCTGGCACCCAAGGCCCTGCCTGGGGCAGCGAAGCCACAGCCACCGGACACACCGGAATTCCAGATCACGATGGGCACTCCGGGGGTGTGGAGGGGGACACACTGCTAGAGGTGGGGAGAGGGACACACCGCAGAGAACTGTGTAGGTTTGTGGAGCAGGAGAACAGTGTCGGGATGGACTTTTCACTTGTCAAGCCTCAGACATGTGATTGTTAGTTATCCAGAGAGCAGGAGGGAGGTTGGCGGCCACCTGCCAGCCCCACCTCCCCCACTGGCCACCACCCCGCCAGACACCTCCCCACCCTGCTGCTGAGGTTTCATAGGGAGCTATCCTCCTGCTGGTGTTTGCAAGAGGCCTCCTGGCTCCGGTGGGCGTGTGGAGGCGCTGCTGCCGGGGGTCAGGGCAGTGACTTGTTCTAAACCCAGCAGGCAGGTGCTCCTCCCTGGACGGCCTCCCTCAGGCCCCTTGGACCCGACACTCATGCTACGCTGAGAGCACCCGCGTATTTATAACAGGCTTCTCCTTGGCGGTGCTCACCCATGTGCTGTTTCCCCGACACCGCCCTTTTGCTCCAAGGCCTCTGTAAATGAAATAAAATGTAATTTCCTATTTGGTGTGTGTCATAATGTGGGGAGGATGCTGGAGTGTGTTCCCTCTGTGATGTTTTATGATTTGCCAGCAGTGGACGGAAATGCACTTCCTGCTATCTGGCAGTTGCTCCTAGGAAGGCGACACTGAGGAGGAGCCTTGGGGGCAGCGCCTCTCTGATGTGTGAGGTCCCGGAGGGCTTTCTCCAGCCTCCAGAACAGCCTTTCCCCAGGGCCTGCGCGACCCTTGACCCCGAGCAGGGCTGGGGCGCTGCCCCCGGTGGTTTGTGTGTGAACTGCAGCAGCGCTGTGGGGTCAGCTCCCCCCACCCCTCGCTCGGCTGTACAGCTCTGCTTTCTGTTTTCTAGGCACTGAGTCTCTCGGATTAGGCTGGGTTTCGCAGCAGCTGGTCGGGCATTCAGACCTTTCCCGGAGGAGCCTCGCGGCGACCCTGCACGTGATGGCCCCCTACCTGTGGGCAAGCCCTGCTGTGACGCTCCCTCGTTGTTCTTAGCCTCCGACTCCCAGGCACAGGCTGACCCAGCCCCTCAGGGCAAAGGATACCCCTTTGTCCCGGGTCTCAGGGGCCTGAGCCTGCTCCGGCCTCCGTGTGTTTCTGTCCCCACAGGAGGTGCTGGCAGACCTCTCTCCAGAGACTGTCACAGGAAGAACGTGTGGTCGCCTCTGCCTAGATGACGATTTAAGAACTTGCTGGTCCTCAGGTTTGAAGTGCCTCCCCTGGACCAGGTGGGTGTCGAGTTTGGGGTCAGGTGTGTGCGGCAGTGGGCCTGTTGAAAAATTACACTGTTACACTTAAAAATAAGCAGTGTTAGTGTAGTGTAACTTAAAACACGGAACTGTGGGCTCAATGGAGACTACTGGGGCTGCCGCGGCGCCCAGGCCACAGGACAGCAGCCAGCCCTGGGTGTGGGCCAGCTTGGCCAGGGGGTGCGGGTGCCACAACCCCTCGTGTTCTGTTTACTGAGTTGTCATTTCCTGTGCTTACGGTGTAGAAGGAGCACTTGGCTGATGAAAAGCGATTATGGTGTGCCCCACTTTAAGACAGTGGTCGCCAACCGGTGGTCTGAAAGGTTGGTGACCGCTGCTTTAAGAAGCCTCTCTGTGGAAGAATGGAAGCCCATGGGCCGGTGTGGGCTCAGGTGGGCACTGTGAGTGATTTCCAGGCAGTATTCCCAATTGGTGGGTCCCCATGGGGCACTGAAAAATAAGACCCCCCCGTACCTGGACTTGATTTGTGTGTTTACTTGAGAGATTTCCATCATCCACACTGAGGTGTACCCAACATGCTGTTACCCCAAAATTGCTGTTATCTCCCTAAAGGGTATATCCCACCACTTACCTGGTCAAGGAAATTGCCACTAAGTTTGGCTACTTGTGTGGTTTGGGGCAAATTAAATCAACTCTGTGGTCCTGTTCCTGCCTCCTAAAAAAATGATAGCTGGGGTGGAAATGACCGAGTACAGCATGCCCGGGACATAGTCTGTGCTCGGCTAACGGAACTGCTGGCACTCTGATTGTCACCTGCCTCTTTGTCAGGACCACTCGTGCTCTGTAGGGGGGCAGTGTGGGGGCAGCAAGGCCCCGGCAGGGCCGGCTGCAAGGGTCCCACAGCCTCACACCCTGCAGACCCTTCCTGGGGTACCTGGTGAAGAGCAGGGTAGCGCCAGGGGTGTTTTTCTCTGCGAACAGGCACTGTGCCAGGCTTGCGGGGGAATTCAGGTGGGCAGCCTCCCCCGGGCCAGGCCCAGAGTAGATTTGCTAACAGCATCACGAGGTGTTCTCTTACATTTGGCAGATCACCTTCATTTCCCCAGAAGAGAAATGGGGTGCATTGTTCTCTGTGTTTGCTGCCTGGGTGTGGCTGATCCCAAGCATCTGCAGAAGGTTGTCTGGGCAATGGCCCCGCCTCACTCAGGGCGCAGGCCCCACCCCCACCCCTGGTTCAGCACCGGCTGCAGCGGCTGAGGGGTCTGCAGCTGTGCTCATTCAGAGGCACGCGGGGGCGTGGGTAACAGAGGGCACCCGGATATGGCCCGTTTGCAGTGGGGCAGTGGGCCTGCATCTGATGGTGTCACCCAAGGCTCTGCCTGGAGGTCTCTGCGGCTGTGAAGGAGATGCTACATGAGAACAAGGCTGTGCAGGCTGCACCCCCTTCCTTGTCGTGGCGGAAATGTCTTCGGTTGAGGGTGGAGGTGGAGAAAGCAGCGGATCGTCTGCGCCAGTGACCGACGTCTAACTCATTCTTTTCTCACAGTGACTGTGGAGCCGGGGAAGGATCCTGTCTTACTGATGAGAAGAGGGAGGCACTCCAGGGCGAAGAGCTGCGTCCGCTTCACTGGGCTGCTCACCTGTTCCTTCTGCTGCACCATTTTGCTCCAGGAGCCCAGTAGGGGATAATGGTGGTTACCGGTTGAATTGTAACTCCACCCCACCCAAAATTCGTATGTGGAAGGCCTGACCCCAGTACCTCAGAATGTGACTTTATTCGGAGATAGGGTTATGGCAGGTGTAGTTAGTTAAGGTGAGGTCCATGGGGTTGGGCGTTAATCCAATCTGACCAGTGTCCTTCGATGTCTCAGTATCACTTAGCTGCTGAGAGACACGTGCGAGGGAAGACGGTGTGAGGAGGCACAGGGAGAAGATGGCATCTCCAAGCCACAGAGAGAGGCCTGGGCAGGCCCTTCCCCACGACCCTCCTGCTGGCGCCCGGAGCTCGGACTTCCCGCCTCCAGAACTGTGACCCGTGAGACAACACTTTTCCGTTGTTTCAGTCAACTCAGCTTGTGGTGCTTGTTCCAGCAGCCCTGGGGAGCTCACACAGCGGCTCAAAGCATGATTTGAGTTAAAAACAGCTGCTTTTGAAGTCCTTTTCCCCCAGTGCCTTGCTGACCTTGGGCATGTAACTCGGGCTCTTTAGGCTTTGGTTCCCTCTGTGAAATGGAGAGAGCAGCACCTGCCTCACTGAGATGCTATGGCAAATGGTGACGCCTACAGGTGCCTGGGGGGTGCGTGGCGGGACGTACGGTTAGTACGCGGAGAAGATGGGAGGAGGCGGGTGCAGTGCTGGTGGGAGTTAGTCTGTCCCCCTTCTTCTCCCCTCCCCGCTTCTCTCCAGTGTCCCTCCTCCAATAGCCATTCCCTGCTCTTTCCCTCTGCCCAGCAGAGTTTGGCCTTGCCTGGGCTCCCCATTCACCTTAGTGCTGGGCGCCTTCTCATCTTCTTTCTGGTTCTCCCCTCAAGTCCAAAGGCAACCATGGTCAGCCCTTCCTCAGACAGATGTTTCCCATGACTTTCTGAACCTTCCTCAGCCACATGACTTTCTCTCACACGCCCACCCCCGTAGGAGGATGCTACTCCAGGACAGCATCCTCAGGCGGTGGTCCTGTTCCTACATATGTCTTCTCAGAGGCTTGTCACTCTTTTTCCCTTGACCGGCCTGGGCAGTCATTTGTTGCTACCCCACGAGGTAAGCTGGCCCATTGTCCCAGTGCTTTCGTGCCTGGCTAAAAATATCTCAGTCTCCTGGTTGGAAGAAGACCTTGGAGAATTCTTTCCTATCAGAAGATCAACTCGATTGGAGGGCAGACTTCTGCTTTTGCCCCAAACTGGACACCTGCACTTTGGACTCGGGCAGTAGAGGCATGGGGGCAGCTCAGTGCCATGAGTCAGTGTATGGATTTCTCCTTCCTCAGAGGGTTTAGCCTCGGAAGAAACACTGTAGACGAAGCAAGCAGAGTGGGAGGAACATGGCCTGATCCAGGCACGTGTTTTCACAGTCATGAGGGAGCCATGATCTCTCTGGACAGGCGGGCCCAGGGCATAGAGATCCAAAGAACTGGGTTTGTTAAACCATGAAAACTTGGAAACCACTGTTTTGGCAACATATATCCTATGAAGAAAATATCTGAGTAATTGCTAGTGGCAGATGGATTTAATGACCCCAATTTCACTCCTCCCTTGCCCAGGCCCTTTTTGTGGGGCCCTCCCATGCAGACTCTAAGCTTGGCCTGGTCACTTGCTTTGGCCAGTGAGACTGGAGCAAACTTGATGCCATCCAAGGCTTGAAAATTGTTAGACCTTCCCTTGTCTTTCTTAGAGCCTTTCTTCCGCCATGAAAATATGCACAGGCTAGCCCACTGGAGGATGAAGCCGTCACATGGAGCAAAATCGTCCTAGACCCACAGGAGAGGCTGGCTGCCCAAGGTCCATAAATGAGCCTGACTCAGCCCTGCCTGGCCCACATCAGCAGAACCCTCCTGGCTGACTCAAAATCATGAGAAATCATCCATGGTGACTGATGTAAACCACTAATTATTCGTGTGTGTGTGTGTGTGGGGGAGGGTTGCAGCTATCTACCTGCTCTCTGCCCCATGGTTTACTCTGCATCGGGTACAGTCTTGATCCATGCTGATCATTCAGATCATATCTTAATCTCCTCTTATCCGGTTTGAGAAGCCACTGTTTTATTTCCAAGAAAAATGCAGCATTGGCAATTGGATGACTTGAAATTAAATTGTCAGAGATACTTATAATGAAGTCCTTTTGGTCTGTGTACACTTGTGGTTTATCAAGAAGTATGTTAGACCTGCCTTTAACATAAAAGGACACTGTTGTCTACTTGCCTGAGGGGTATTCAACGTAGGAGAGCAAACCAGCCCCTAACTATATATGCATCGTGATGCAGATTCCCACTGCTCTGGCCCACAGTGGTGGCTGGCACGGGGGCAGTCTTAGTTCTTAGCTGATTCCTAGATGTGCAGCTGGATTCTCTGGGCCTGAGAGCACTCTTAGAAATTCTTAGAAATATGGTCATACTTGACCTAAGACTGAGCCTGCTTTATTCAGAAAGGGCACCCACTCTTTTCAAGGGTGCCAACTGGTGTGGCCTCTTGCTAGCCTTGGTGGGCTTACAGCCTAAGATGGCTTTTGTTTAAAGTTATGGGTTCTCTGTGAAAAGCCCTACTCCTTAATATGTCAAGTTCCATAAATTTTAATATATAAAATTACCTTCAATTATAGATATTTTACAAGTTTGTATATACTTTAGTCTTTTAAATGAATTTTTTCTAGTGTTGTGTTTAATGATTGTGAGGTGTTACAGAAAAATATCTACTGTGTTTAAGTGAAGTTTAATTTATTTAACTCTCAAATAGTCTAATCTTTCTCAAAGCAAATGGTTTGAATGATGACCAGTTACATGACCTCTTGGTCAATGGCAGACCACATAAATGACCGTGGTTTCTACAATGATAATGGAGCTGAACAATTCCTACCACCAGTGACATTGTAGCCATGGTAACATTATTGTGTAATGCATTATTCACTTGCTTGTGGTGATGCTGGTGGACACAAACCTGTCAGTAGTGTAACTGAGCAGCACTGGTGGTTATGTTCAGTACATACTACTTGACAATAACTGTCTTTCTTACCAGTTGATACATTTACTATACTTTAATTTTTATCATTATTGTAGAGTGTACTCTTTCTACGTATAAATTGTTTGCTGTAAAACAGCATGCTGTTACATATCTCGTGTTTACTGTTCTCTCTTGATTGCACCATTTTCTCTTATGCTTGATTTAACCTCAGGCTTTGTAAGTTAGTGTAACTTCAGTGTACAGGTTTATAAAATCTACAGCATATACAGTAACCTCACAGACCTTCCTATTCCCATGCACTGACTCACCCAGTGCATCATCCAGTCCTGCAAGCTCCATTCATGGTAAGTGGCCTGTATGAATATAATATTCAACTTTTCGACGGTATTTTTACCGCACCCTTTCTATGTTTAGATACAGAAATACTTAACACTGTGTTGCCGTTTTCCATAGTATTCAGTACAGCAACATGCTGTACAGGTTTGTAGCCCAGGAGCGATAGGCTTGGGTGTGTAGTAGGCTACAGCGTCTAGGTCTGTGTGAGTGCTATTATGTCTCCACAATAATGACACTACATGACGATGCAGTTCTCAGACATATCCCCATCATTAAGCCGTGCGTGGCTATGCTTGAATTTATCTAGTGGGGAAGAAAATGTTTTCTAGTTTTAAAAGGAGCTGGTAATTGCTTACTGCTCTTTTGTGTTTCATATTAATGAGCAGAATTGAGGGAGTCTGTAAGGAGTGTGAGAAACATCATGGCTGGTGGGGATCTGAGTCTCTTGACAGCCCAGGACAACTGGAGGAAGACATCTGAGTGAGATGGGGCATCTGGTCTATTCATGTGAGTCTCTAGAATGAACAGGCTTTCATGTAGTTGTCAAGGACAACGAGGCAATGTATGGATACAGTGGCTAGTGGCTAGCAGTTATCATACTTTTATAGGGTATTTTAGTGGGCCAAATATTAAGAAACAAGGCATCTAACCAGTTCCCAAAGAGTATAATTAACATGTGGCTAACACAGGTCTCTAACATGGTGGGTAAAAACCAAAAACCTGATACTCCATCTTGGATATAGGCAGCAGCACATGTAATCAAGGTTTAGGAGGACACAAAATCCAGGTGTTCCTATAGACATTCAAATGAACTGTTTCCCAACAACAGGTGATTAAAGTAAAGGATTTATTGTAATCTGCTTACAGTCCTTTGCAAAGACAGACATATGGTTTTGCATAAAGATATAAATTGCTTCATTTTAAACTAATTTAGTGTGTTTTCTTTTTAATTATATGAAGAAGTTCTGGTGAATTATGAATTGTACCAAACTGAGATTCTTAAGAGCAATATGGTACAAAAATAAGAGCAGACAGACCATTTGGATCGGGACAGGCATTCAGCAGTGAATTTAGAATATGGCTTTGCTGTTGAACCAAGCAAAGTTACCCGGAGACACACAAACAGCCAGGACCATCATTCATACGAGAAGCCGATGCAGACCACCTCCATCCCAAACCTGGTTACGTCAAAATTCTGACTGCGTAAAAAGTAAGTCTGAGCTGAAAGCTGCTCTCGTAAGCTGTTTCTTTTCTAGAAACTCCCAGTCTGCATGCTGTGCATCTATCCTCTTCCAAGTGTGGCATTCATATTGCTGTGCATGTAAGTAAGTTGGCTGTATTTAAAGATCTGCCTATAAATTAAATTCCCGAAATTGCAAATTATGTAAGAAAAACTCCCTCCGAGTGCACTTTCACAGGCTTCCCCTTGCATAAGGCAGGTGTCTTTGGAAAGACAAGGTAATGTTGCCTGCACAGTGAACCCTGGAGAAAAGTGTGGATCCGACGCTGCCTTCTCTTGGCCGTGGGCTTCTCCAGCTACCGCTTGTAGGTTTTGGAAAATAATGTGATTTCACTGAGTACCTGATGATTATCATCACTTTTAAAGATTGATTTGGCCTCTATTCAAAGTAGCTTATTTAGTGCAATCATATTGCTAAGTGTCCCCAAAGAGAGATGTTTGTGATTTGGGGCAAGAGAAAAGCCGTAAACTGCATCAGTGCCGAACAGATGAATGAATTACAAATTTTAGTGCCACTGTCTTGCTTATATGATCTGTAGTTCCCCCCCCAAAACTGTTTATGTATAAAATTTATTGTTAAAACCTACCTTTTAAAAATCTAAAAACCCTCTAATGATGTTGCGGTCTCCACGCTGCTCTGACCGTGCCCGCGTGCATCTTCTCAGTGTGTCCTGCAAAACCTGTGTGTTCCCATGACCGGTGCCAGGAGTGCGAACCCCCTTCCCAAGACCAGACGTGAACATGTCACTTTTCACAGGTGTAAGCGAGTGCATGGGATTCTCATCCCCACAGGAGAAGATGCATTTCTCTAAATGGGATGGGACTATGCTCGCTGAGCCCTTACGTTTCCACGGGCTCTCCTCGCCTGCGGCTGGTTCTGCCGCCTGAGGACCGAGGAACGGGGGCGGCGGTGCTAAAGCCGCGCTCCGACCGGCTCCCACGTGTGTCCTCAGGTGACGCCTTCAAGGCCCTCCGGACACCACAGCCCGTTGCCGGAAAACATGCTCACGTCCCACGAGCACCCGGGCGGGAGACCAAAGACAAAACAAAGGCAGACAAAGTAGAAAGGCTTAAGGACAACCGAAGAGGTCGCAGTGTGGCTATTTACAACAGAGACTGGGAAATGGTAAATCAGATGTGAAGCTAAAAAAGGCACAGCTCTCCCTTTCTTAAATACACTGTAAACGGTTCATTAGGCATGCAGAGCATCTCACTTTACAAAAAGAAATTTTTACCTTGTTTAGACAAAGATAGTACTTAAATAGTCTCCAGCAAAATAGAATTCTTTCAAAAATACTTTCCCATTCTTCCTATTAACCATTGAAGTTTTTTTTGTATCTTTTTTTTCGCATTTACAAAAGTTCCTTATACCATATATAACTCAGGTCCTTCACAATTTATACATACAGTAATGTACAGCACAGCAAAAGACTGCAAAAAATTATCTGTAAAGCCAACACAATAGATACTAGAAATTGAAACCGAGGCATTTGTTTTTAACATCTTATCCATTCTAATTAACCAATGGACGCTGAAGGGGGAGGAACGCCAATGATGCAGAGGAACATGGGCGAGTGCGAGCCAGAGGGGGGCGCTCTCCCATGCCGCGTGCTCTGTTATTACACAACGGGAGTCTGTATAGGTTTTTTCTTTTTTTTTGTTTTTTTAAATAACAAAAAGAATATTAATGCCCCATATAGCCTATACATTTTATGTGCAAACCAAGGGTAAGCTTTAAAAAGTTCATTAGTCCTTGAACCCTTTTAAAACAAGCGGCTGATACCAGAAACTACATGGCATTGTTAAAACTTCCATCTGTTAAAGTATCAAAATCAGAGAGTTATTGACTAGATATGGCTTTTCATCCAGAGGAACGTGTTTCTAAGCGCTGGGGACTGGAGAGGGGAGAGTCCTTTAGAGTTTAGACTGTTCAGGTCTTGCCAAATCCACGTCTAACTTCTAACCCGGCCCCAAACCTTTATGGCTACCTTAAACTCCAGAAACTGCTGAACGAGTGTGACTCAACCATCACCTGCTAAAAATATGATTTCTTGGGTCCTTCGTGGGTGTGGAACAACACAGGGGAACTTAAGGCAAAGTTCTTCTGCTACGATGAGTCCGTCACTTCCTGTGGAAGTAAAGCGGCTTGGCGTTCCCGGATTCCACCTTCGGCAGCTGGTCGCTGATGATCTCCACCAGCATCGCGGGGAACTCCACCTTCAGGGCCTGGGACTCTCGGAAGGTATAGAAGCAAAATTCCAACAAGTCACTCACCAGCTGCAACACAGACAGAGAGGGGACGTGACACAGAGGTCAGATTTCCATCCCTGTCCCTGCAGCGCTCTGCATTTACAACTTGTGTAAATTCTCAGAACAACCTTCAGAAATCCAGCCAGGAAATCCTGTCTGTGATGCTGCCTGATGAATTTAGTAAGTCACCTGCCCTGGGGGAGGAAGGAGGGTGCTCATGTCACCGGGCATGTAATAGGCCTTCATGCAAAACAAATTCAGCCAAGAGCTGTGTAACTGCTCAGGATTGAATGTATCAGTGGCAACAGGGTCTGTAACCAAGTTCAGAGTGGCTGGATCACTGAATTGCTGTCCTCAGATTCTTACGTGTGAATTGGGTGGGGCGAACATGAGCATGGATCCTTGGGTGATGGGCCATCCCAAGACTGTAAGGTGGGCTGGGGTTGGAGGGGCAGGTGCCCAGGACAGTGAGGGACAAGGCAGAGCTCCTCTCATCCTTCCACCCCCGGGCCTCCCTCCTTCAGGCTTTTTGCCCTTAGCTGGTGGCAGACTCAGACTTCTCAGTACTTTTTTCATTTTCCCCCAGCTTTTGAGATCTGCAGTGTTATACTTGGCATAGAACATTATATAAGTGTAAGCTGTGCCATGGGTTGATGTGATACACTTATATATTGCAAAATGATTAGCTAACACCTGCATCATGTCACATAATTACCATTTCTTTTGTGGTGCAAGTACTTAAGATATACTGTATGGTTAGCTATAATCACCATGCTGTGCATTAGATCCCCAGAACGTACTCCTCTGATGACTAGAAATGTGTCCGCTTTGACCAGCATTTCCCCCAGCCACTGGTAACCACCGTCCTACTCTGTTTCTATGAGTTTGGTTTTTTTTAGATTCTACAGGAAAGTGAGATTATACAGTATTTGTCTTTCTCCCTCTGGATTGTCTCACTTAGTATAATGCCTGCCCTCCCGGTCTGTCCATATTGTCACTAATGGAGGATTTCTCTCAAGGCCGTGCAGTGTGAGGGCATCTACTGCATCTCCATGCAGCTGTCCACTGTCATCCATGCTCCACTGCAGTAAAAGGACAACTCTGAGTCCCCTCGCCCATCCAGCCATTTCCCTCCTCTGTCACCCAAGGACCTCAGCCTCCTGGATCTGAACCACGTCTGTGAGGTCAGGAGACAATAACCACAAGTGCAGTACAGCATTCTTGGTTGCTCTTCTATTTACTAGGAATATCATTTCACATCACAATATACACATTCTGATTTTTTTTTTAGTTAACTAGACTTTTGGTCATTTCCCTCTGTGGTAAAGCAGGCAATAATAATCCGTCAGAAAAGCGATTCTTATGAAAACACATCTGTCATTTTCCCTCAGGTTTTTTTAAACTTGAATGGCGAGCTTTCATTGCGTGGGATAGTAAATAACTGTGTGGCAAAGGCCTTCATTACAAACCAGAAATCAAGAAAATCTCATTTGGATGGATACCGGCTCTGTTGGTGGCTGCAGAGTGCTGTTCCCTAGGCAGGTTCCAAACACTGTGACATGGGGTACGTGTTCTGCAGCCACTGGGCGTGGGGGCCAGAGAAGCTGGGAAACAGCACCAGCGTCCATCACCGTCCGCTCAGGGCAAGTTCACGCACGTGCTTGCTTTGTGAATGTGGTGCCAGTTTCCAGATGTGTAAAATGAGGGTGAGGAGAGCACCTGCTTTCTAGGGTCCCTGCTCTCAATCACGAGGCCAGGGTGCCCTGCTAGGGTGGAGCCTCTTTCATGCTGCCCTTCTACTGGTCCCAAGCTCCTTCCATCATTTTCCTCTATGGACAGTTTACCAAACCTGCTGAGTCATCTTTATGGAGCTTGGTCCCCCTTCCATAAAGTGAAGGGCAGGAAGGCTTTGTTTTCTGCTTTTCCGGAAAAAAGATTCTTAAACTAGAATAGGGATGGCGAGTTTCCGAATTTAGGTGGCGGGCCAGTGGTTGTGCGCGCTAACAGCCACCCATGGCCTCACTCTCCCCACATGGTGCCGCTCCTTTCAGTGGGGGGTCCCTTGGGGGCTTGGAACAGGGGAAGCTCTGCACAGACCTACTGACACCTGAAACCGGCGAGAGCAGTGCCGCTCACACACTCAGAGACGCAGGCAGAATCAGTCAGTCTCACCACGAGGCAGTGTGCACAGAGCGCCCTGTGACTGCGAGTGGGGACAGGGCCCGGCCTCTCAGCGCCTCTGTCCCTGACTGTGACACCTGCATTCCCAGCACCGAGCATCACCTAGGAGATGCTGAGGAACCCAGAAGGGACAGGCCTGAGGCTTGCTGTGTTTCCTCGCAGGTGGCTGGGGACAAGGGCCCGGTCACTGCTCCCTAACCACGCACCCGAGCCGCCATTTCTGCCCACCTCTGTTCAGTGAGTGCAGCGGGAGGGGCGGCCTGGGCAGCTCCAGGTGAGGCATCAGGCCCTGTCACCCACACACTCTCAGGGTGGCTGCTTTGGATGACCACCGGGCCCTGGGACAAGGCTGAAGACCTTTGCAGGTCAGGCATCACCTGTGACAAAGGCATGTGCTCCCAGTCACTGGGTGAGAACATTCCTGACCCTCTGCAGGTGCTGGGCGTGGGGGGCTTTGGCAGTGCTGCAGTACAAGGTCTCCAGCCCTCCTAGAAGGTGTGGCTGCAGGAGGTCAGAGCGTGAGGAGGGGGAACTAGGCCCTGAGAACTGGGTGGCAGGGACATTGACCAGCCAGAATGGATGCTGTTTGTGCACCAAACTGCTGTGTCACGGCAGGCACAGTGTCTAACCTTCATGCTGTCTCCTAGGTGTCACCCTGGAGCAATGAGCGGCACATGCAGAGGAACACAGCAGGTGGGCCCCTGCCCGGAGGAGCCAGAAAACCAAACAGGTACAGTGCACTTGTCATCACAGCACACTCTCCCAAGATCAGAGAGTTGGCAGAGTGAGGCCAGGCTGTAGTCAGACCCTGCAAGGTGGCTGTGTGTCACTAAACCACCACAGGTAGTTTCTACTTACACCTCAAGCCACCAGGGCAGAGCAGGGAGCCTCGGGCCTCGCCCAGTTTGGTGTGTGTCGTAGAGGGGAAGCCAGACTTCTCACAGGCCTTTAGAATTGAATCACTCCAGGTCCATGGCATGCACAGCCCTACAGGGATAGTCCAGAAGTTTTCTTGGACACTCAATTAGCATGGAATAATTTTTCCAAAGTGTCTCTTCAAATGATAGGAGTTTTGGCTTTTTCTGCAGGTTTCCCAGGCTCTTCCTTTCACGGAACCCCACTCCCTGCAGTCACCTCCCACCCCTGGAGACCTGGAACCTTGGCCTGAGGACCCTTGCTCTCCTCAACTCACAGATGCCATGTTTTGTCTTTGTGATTTCCTTGACATTACAGCCAGGTGACACCCCTCCTCTTCTATCCTGTGGTTTCCACTTCCTACTGGTGTAACTTTGCACATTTGCAGCTCCTCAAGTGGCCTACAAGCTCCTTGAAGACAGGAAGTACTGATGCAGCCACACAGCACCCGGGAGAGGCCCTCCTGCTAGCTCTGGCTCCTGCCTTTCTCTGACTGTAAGTGCCCAGTATTTTTTTCAGAGCAGCCTGTTGCTGGTCTTAATCAATGAACAAAAACAAAACCTGGCTAATGTAATTGGGCATCTTCATTTTAGCGGCCTGAGTAAAGAATGCAGAACTTGATCTATGAAGCTACCCACTTCCACTTTTTCCCGTCCGTCCGATGCCCTTCGACTTGTTTATGTTGGGTTTTAATGTGAGGTTGTATGCACCCCACCCCTGAAGTTAGAGGGACTGGGGTCCAAGGAACGTCACGGCTACAAGGACAAAAGCTCTGCCCTGCCGCCTGTCAGCACGAACGCCTTAATTGCAGTGAGACAAACAGGCCAGCCGTCTCGTTATTGATTCCCACTGGCCTTTCCTGGTGACACCAGCCTAGATGGAGAGGCAAGAACCCTAATTATAATCAGTATTAAGAATCCTGCATTATTAGGAAAAAGAGAAAGTCTTGTGCAGTGACTTCTCATTCTGTACAAAATGCATCTGCTGGGATCACAGAAGTTTAGCTCGATGCTCAGCATTTCTCTGTCCGCTGGGCCACAGCTGCCAGAGGCAGATGAGCCGGCAAGGTCAGAGTGAGACCGAGGGCCTTTGGTGGCCTCTATCAGTGCCTTTCTCCCAGGCCTTCCCCTGAGCGGTCGCCCACGCATGGGCTCTTGGTGCCCTACAGGTGGGCCTGGCGCTGCTGCTCTAAGGTTACAGCACCACTCGGCGGGGACGAGCACCTGGAGGATAACTGCCTCCATGAAGCAGGTCCCACCTGATCTGCTGACTCGAGCTTTCAGCTGATTAGGATTAAGCTTTTTTTGCTTGAAATAAGCCTTGGGGGGAGGTTTGAAGCTTTGTTTTCAAAGATCAGAATTTTAGACAGCTATAAGATGGGGTTAGGGGCAGATACAGAACTTCGACTCAATAAGGTCACAGGAAGAGAAATGGTCAGTAGTTACATATTCCAGGTGTTCCCATACCATGATAGGTGTGAACACTGGAAAGTGTCCTGCAGTGATTATAAAGGAGCGAGGGCTTCATTCAAAACTCGGACCTCTACGTAGCACAGGCGAGTTAACCTGCTTCAGTCTGGCTGGTGCTGCCTCAATAAGACACGATAGTAACATGGTGATGCCACCCTTCACTTGTGGATCCCTTTGCAAACCCAGCTCACCCTGCTCTATGCTCCTGGAGGCTGTGCTTAGGAGCTGAAGGCCTCCCAGATGTGACCAAGTAAAAAAGAATCAAAAGATACCATCAGGAGTGACAGTGGCATAAGATGGTTCATCCTGTTTGCCCCCCACAATTCAACAAACAGCTGTGGGACCCAGCACTATGCCCAGGACATGGAAGCGTCCTGCCACCTGTGTACCCAGCAGAGCAACGAACTTGGAGAGTCTGGCTTGGGCAGACACCCAAGAGAGAAACTTCAAAAATCCCTGTTTTGAAGAAACTCAAGGAACTACAAGAAAGGAACTGCAGAGGTCTATCCAGCTTTCCCCAGGGGAAATGCCAGCATGCCCTCAGTGCAAAAATCAAAGGAATTTAAATGCAGCAGAGACAGCAAGAACTTTACCAGCAAACCCCCAGCCACAATGCACTGGATGAACTATCAGTGGTGGCGGCACCTCCCATAGCTGCCCAGTGGAGCGCTGGAGAAGCCACTTTCTCTGAGGCAGGAACTCCTTGACTAGGAGGAGGAAAGACACTGGGAAAGAAGCATCGAAAGGCATTACAGGGCCAAGGCTCCTGCTGACGGACTGCTCAGCAGAAAGTCTACCTAGGAACCTCTGGGAGCACCACACCCGGGGATCCCTTTGTTTCTGCAGGCGCACCTGATGCGTTAAGTCCACACTTCCCCCCACTCTGTGTCCACTTCTAAGTGTGGAGGCCAGAACAAGATCTAGTAGGGAGGGCCCTCAGAAAACTGGCCAGGGTCTATGGGCAAGAGAGAAACCACAAACTTGAGCTATAGCAACACCTATAGAAACAAAAGAGGTTTCTTGCCAGCAGTCTGGTGAGTGGTAAGAACCAGAGGCATAAAAGCTTAAGAATTAGGCCACAAGGGGGAGCAAGACCAGAGTAACATACAAAGGCAGAACCCCCCTAAACCAGCACCAATGAATAGAATAATCAAGGTGGTCCACGTCTGCTACTTCCAATGAGAAAGCAGCAATGCAAAACTACAAACATCATTCAAAACCAAGGAAATCTCACCACTGAAAGATAATAATCCTCTACCATCTCAGTTCAAAGGCACAGCGTTTTGTGATCTTGCTGATAAAGAATTCAAAATCCCTGTTTTGAAGAAACTCAAGGAATTACAAGAAAGCTCAAAGACAATTCAATGAAATAATAAAAAAGAACCAAGTAGAAGTTATGTAGCTGAAGAACTCAGTGAATGAAATGAAAAAATGCTATAGCATATATAGAAGGGTAGAGCACAGAGTAAGTGTTAGAGGACAGGAATTGTGAATTAACCTACTAGAGGAGAACAAAGAAAAGATAATAAAAAGAGTGAAGAAAGCCTACATAGCCTGTGGGATTTCATCAAAACAACAAGGAATAGAATATGTCCCTTTGTCTTCTAGAAAGAACTAACCCAACTTGGGAAGTGAATTGAACACCCTATTATATCAATGCATAGAAAGCTTATCCAAAACATATTGTAATGAAACTGTCAAAATTTAAGATGAAAGAACCCTAAAAGGAACCTGGGGGGAAAATATTATAACCTACAAAGGCATCCCAGTTGAGCTATCATTGGAACTCGGCAGAAACCCTGCAGACCAGGAGAGAATGGAGTTAGATAGTCCAAGTGTTGAAAGAAAAAATGCCAGCAAGTATACTGTATCCGGCAAAATTATCCTTCAGCTATCAAAGAGAAATAACCTTCCTAGAAAACCAAAAGCTGAGACAATTCATCACCACTAGACCTGCCTTTCAAGACATTCAAGCTGAAATGCACAGATGCTAATCAGTGACATGGAAACATATGAAAGTATGCAACACACTGGTAAAGGTAAATAAACAGAAACCCCAAATTCTGTAATATGTTGTGTGTTACCCACTTAACTACAATACAGATTTCAAAGGAAAAGAGCATTAAAAATAGTCACAGCTACTATAATTTGCTAAACACAATATAAAGAGGTAAATAATGACATCAAAGATATAAAAGGGTAAAGCTTTTATAGATGATTGAACTTAAATTGCTCTCAGCTTAAGTTTAATCCATGAGATGTCTTATGTAACCACAAAGCCAAAACCTAGAGTAGATGCACAGAAGATAAAGAAAACGGAAACAGAGCATACCACCACGGAAAGACAACAACTTACAAAGACAGGCTTACATGGAGGGAAAAGAAATAATGCAAATGCAAAACAACCAGAACACAATAAGATGGCTTTTGTAAGTTCTTACATATCACTAACATCTCTAAATCTAAATGGACTGAATATACCAATTGAAAGACAGAGTTGCTGGATGATTTAAAAAAAAAAAAAACAAGAACCAAAACTACAGGTATATGTTGCCTATAAGAGACTCACTTTGGCTTTAAGGACATCCATAGGCTCCAGGTGAAGGAACGGAACAAGACATTCCATGGAGGGTGAGGTAAATATACTCAGACAAACTTTAACCCAAAAATGGTAATAAGAGACAAGGTCAGTATTTAATAGTAAAGGGGACAATTCATCAAGAAAATGAATTCAAAGCAATCATATGTAACAGAACTGGGAGAAACAGACGATATAATGTTAGTTGGGGACTTTAATACCTCACTTTCATCCAGACAGCACATCAACAAGGAGACACTGGACCATACATTAGTCCAAATGGACCTAACAGATATGCATAGAACATTCCAACCCAACAGGAGCAGAATACACATTCTTCTCAAGTACATCAGAACATTCTCCATGACAGTACATACAACAGGACCTAAAACAAGTCTATCTTTTCCGGCCACAATGCTATGAAACTAGAAACCAACAGGAGGAAAGCTGGAAAATCTACATACATGTGGAAATTAAACATACTTCTGAACAATCAGTTGGTCAAAAAAAGACATCTAAACGAAAATAAACCATCTCAAAACAAATA